TTTTTTTTATCGGTATAGTTGGAAAAAAAATTTGCCGATTTTGCCGGCAATGATGGGCAAATCGGTCGATCGTTTTACCGATAAAAAATCTGCGCATGAGCGGTAACCTCCAAGAAGAAGAAAAAGAAGCAGAAGTAGAAAAAGAAGAAAAAGAAAAAAAGAAAAAGAAGAAGAATTCCAGTCCGCTATTATATTTTAGATGAACCGTCTTGCGGGTTGCAACAATGTATCTATTTGTATCCGAATAAAACCATCTGTATCCGAAATGGATACAAATAGATACATTGTTGCAACCGCTATACTTTTTCATGTCAAATATAATAGCGGAGCTCTCTGCAAGGAACAGAAGTCATTAAATGCCGGCCGTAGACGGGACGAAAATCGGCCGATTTTTTGTACCATTGGTGGCAACGTCGGCCTACCTATTGAATGACCGATTTTTCTTTTCTTTTTTTAAAAAACAGACGGTTTTTGATCCGTCTATGGCCTGCATTACATATATGATCAGCTTTAAAGTGGTTCTAAAGCCAAAGGATTTTTTTTTTCTTGTGCACGGCAGCCTATTCATTCGAATGGGCTGCTGTGCCGAGTGCAGCACACAAAAAAGCTGCATGCATCGGTTTCAAATTCACAACGGCCTACTGGGCAGTGTTGCCTAAAGCAGTCCCAGCACATAGACAAGGCTTTGCATGTCCTTGTATTCCAGTTCACACCAATGCTGTGGTGTGTTGAATGGAGTGTCATTTTTGTGATATTTCAATAAAAAGTAAAAAAAAACAGACACTGAATCAGGTTCCACGTCACTGTTGGGACATATAGAGGAGAGATTGTACAGTCAGACTGTAACATATATGATCAGCTTCAAAGTGGTTCTAAAGCCAAAGGATTTTTTTTTTTTACCTCAAAGTAAAACTATATTGCATCTGGGCAATCCAATAATGATTTAATTCATTTTTAATATACAAAGCAAACTCCCCCATCCATCCATGTCTCCATTTTTTATTTTGCTGAGAAATTGTTTTGAAACCCCCTGCCCTAGCATTTCTGGCCATTTCCATCTTGAGTAAAGGCAGATGATTCATGTAGCATTTACTTCATGGAATCCATCTGCCATTAGCCCAGGCATGCAGGAGGGTGTGCTCAGCTGAGAAAACCTCTCCTGAAGACTCCTGGGATATATGTCATCATTTGACTAGGCATGGAAACCAGGAAGTAACTGAAAAAAAAAAAAAGTTTTAAAAACCAATGATATACTTTCCTACCTATTTACTAATGCTAGGATTAAAAACAGTTGGTTGAGAGAGTGAAGGTCCACTTTAAAGAATATGTAAATCCTACATATTCCTGATATGTGTCTGCTGTACCATGTACTTGTGTGAAAAAGTATCCTGCTTTATTTGTGTGAAATTCCTGATGTGACCACACTAGGCATAGGAGCACAGCGTGGTCAGTTCTGTAGCTGTGCAAAGAACTTAGGCTGGCCATACACTATACAATTTTCTTGAGATTTGTTTAGATTTACCAAAAACCATATATTAGGAGGTCAAACCCAAACAACACTTTCAGTTGTATCCAATGAAGCAGGCCCTTGCACTACACAGTTGAAGGTAAATCTAAAGGAAATTGGGCAGAAATTGGACAGAAAATTGTATAGTGTATGGCCAGCCTAAGGCAGGCCATAGACGGGCCGTTTATTGGCCGATTAAAAAAATAAAAAAATCGGTCGGCCCCGTTGCTGATACTGCCACTAATGTCCACGAAAAATGGCCATTTTTCACGGATTTTCCAGCATGACTGATAAATGACTGATAAACGACGGGCTGGCTCCACCAACAGTGTGAATATCGGCTGATTTTTCGTGCGGACGAAAATTCGGCTGATAAACGACCCGTCTATGGCCTGCATTAGTCTGCTCTCCTCCGCTGATCAAACTTGTCCGATCTTTGAAGAGCTGGCACTGTCCTTGCAAACTACAACACCGTATGAACCTGTCCCTAAAAAAAGTATTTCAAATCCTGGCAACCGCAGGCCCGTGTCATCACTAAGCCACACAAATATAAAAACATCTATACACAGGTCATCTAAGTCTGGACACCGACACTTGTAGGATTTAACCGCCAGCCTACAGGGCACTTCTACCCCCTTCCTGCCCAGGCCAGTGTTCAGCTTTCAGCGCTGTCACACTTTGAATGACAATTGCGCGGTCATGCAACACTGTACCCATATGAAATTGTTATTTTTTTGTTTATTTTTTTTGTTTATTTTGGTGGCATTTAATCACCTCTTGGTTTTTTATTTTTTCCTAAACAAACCAAAAACCGCTGAAAATTTTGAAAAGAAAAAAAACACAAAACCTTTTCTTAGTTTTTGTTATAAAATTTTGTAAATAAGTGATTTTTCTCCTTCACTGATGTGTGCTAATGAGGCTGCACTGATGGACACTGATAGGTGGCACTGACAGGCATCACTGATGGGCACTGAAAGGCAGCATTCATATATGGCACTGACTGGCACTGTTAGGCGGCACCGAAAGGCAGCTCAGATGGGCACTGATATGTGCCATTGATGTGCACTGGTAGGCACTGAAATGTGACACTGGCAGGTGGCACTGATGGGCACTGGCAGGTGACATGGATAAGCACTGACAGCTGGCACTGATGGACACTGACAGGTGGCACTGATGGGGCTACATGATCATCAGGGCACACTGATCATCAGTGTACATGTCCCCTCCGAGGAATGACGATTATCGGCTCTCCTCTCCTCTCGAGCTGTCAGCGTGAGAGCTAGTGAGGAGAGAAATGCCGATAACCGTCATTTCCGTGTTTACATGTGATCAGATACAACTGATCACATAACCAAGCCGACATCTTCGGCTCTTTCCGTTGATCTGCTATGTCCGAGGGACACAGCGCACCGCCGATCGTCGCGCGCTCCTGGAGCCGCGCATGCGCGGTTAGAATGGGAGGACATCATATGACGTCCTCCGAGAACGAGAACCACCTTACGCCCGTCCTTGTACTATATGGCGGGGGGAGGCGGTTAAAGGCTATTCACACATCCGATCAACTTCATCGCCTAATGTAATGATAAGCTGAAGTCTATGGATTCCAATAGGCCCATTCACAAACATGCACTGAAGTGTGCTGGGTGAAAATGGAACATACTGCTAAAGCCTTTTTTTTTTTTTTTTTTTTAAAAACCAAAACATTAGTATTGATTTCTTTGGCACAGTAAGGTAATTGATTCCTTTTTACATAGTTCAAAAACTTATTTTTTATTCAACATTATATACCTGCATTCCTCACCTTCCTGCGCACCGCTTCCCTGAACTTCCTGCCAGGAAGCAACACATAACATCAGTTAGGCTAGGTTCACATAAGTGCAGGTGGTGCCGCTGCGTATACACACAAAAATCCAGCTGCACCACCCACACAGAAGAATGCGGACCCGTGGGCGAGTGCCATTAATTCTAATGGCATGCCGCCCGCACTGGAAATCGCAACCGCACTGGGAACCGAGGTTCCCCTGCGGGCTGCGTTTTCAGAAGAAGTGCAGGGACTTCTTCCCTCCGTGTCCCGGCGCACGGGAGTCCATTCAAATAAATGGGCTCTCGTGCCCACGCAAAATGCGGCCCGCGGGAACGTAAATATGTGAACCAGGGGTAACACTGATCAGAGTTAATTCATCGTGACTATATGCTCCACCATCTGAGAAATGTATTGTCGACGTGCAGATGCAGCCTGCACCCATGTGCCCTGTAGTCCTCCCTGGAGCGCACACACAATGGTCTCTATGGCAGAGCTCCATAGGACCCTGCAAGGGAAAGGTAACATCCTAGAAATAGAGAGTGAGGCCAGAGATCTAGGATCTGGCAGAAAAGAACAAGCAGCATACGTTGTAAGTCTTTACATTTGCAGTAGGAATTGCAAAAAAAAAAAAAAAAAAGTAGGCTTTAAAGTGGACCTCCACCCTAAACTGAATGTCATATTGCTCATCTGCTGCCTCCCCTCCGTTTCGCACAAATGGAGACACCTACCTCTAGCTATTGTGGAAGTCCCAAATATTTGCCGTCTTACACATGTATTGGAAATCTCCAGCGCATGCGCAGATGTTTCAAAGGGCTCCGCCAGGACCTGAAGGCCAGACAAAGTCCTTTGCCACATCTGTGAATGTGCCATACTGGTGGCACTCGGAGGGAGGGGAGCAGAGCCACTAAAAAGGGGACTGAAGTTCCTCCTTAAAAGTGGTTGTAAACCTCAGACAATAAATATGAAGAAAGTATATCCCTCTATAGTGTGTACTTGCCTCCATTAAGAGTACTAAGTGTCATTTCTGTCTGCTGCTTCATTTTTCTGCTATCAGCATGAGTCACTTCTGACAAGTTTTCATGACACCAAGAGAAAAATGGTGACGGAGAGGGGCCTCCAGCAGAGTGACAAGCTCAGCTCTGTTCCTGTGTGAAGGATGGGAGGGGCAGTTGTTCTCTTCCCTCCAATCAGCTAGAGCTCTCCTCACTGAGTGTAACTTCAGCTCTCTGAACTCTCATACAAGCTTATTAAAGTGTTACTAAACCCACAACAGTAAAATCAGTATATACATGTAGTAAAGTATGCTTGCTATACTCACTGTGGAACCTAAGGGGTTAATCATCTACATTGTGTAAAAATTATGTTTGATCCTGTTTTTTCTGATCCTCCCATTCTTCCAGTGTCCCCCTCTTATCACCTGATAAGACATATATCATGTGGAGTCACTCTGCACATGCTCAATTTGTTGTGTCCTGCTAGAGAGCTTTTTTTTTTCCCTGGGAGAGTGCGTGTGAGCAGCACTGTCCAGACACAGTCAGGGGTCCTGCATCCTCCTAGAGAAAACTCTACGAGCTTTAACCAGTGTTCTGCTGATAAAAGTCACAAGATTGCTCTAACTGCTGATGAGAAAAGGTATTTAGCAGTTTATATTTACTAAAATAATTGCATTTCCATGTTGTGTGTACAGTGGGAGATCAGATATAGTGAATGCAGGGTCCGGGGAGACCAGATATAGTAAATGCAGGGTCCGGGGGAGACCGGATATAGTGAATGCAGGGTCCGGGGAGACCGGATATAGTGAACGCTAAGTACAGCACCTTGAATGAATGTAGAGAAGAGAAGACTGCAGATAAACAGGTACAACCTATGTAGGGGGATTTGTTTTATCACTGTGAATCACCTGAGGCCAGTCACTTCACTAGGTATATGGAAGGGTTTACAACCACTTTAAAGGGTCAGTTCACCTTTATAGGAAAAGTGTAACAGTAAACACCAGACCAACTCCCCCCCCCAGTCCTAGCAGTACCTACCTCTGGTAATCCTGAGCTATCAGGGCTCCGGCAAGCGACCAAGAATTTGAAGTCCCTGCTATTCTCCCTCCTCATGTGATGGCGCGATCACCAATCAGAATCCATCTGGTCCATCCAGGAAACACTGATTGAAAAGAGGGAAAACAGAGATTTCGAATCCCCAGACCAGCTGCAGCAGCCCTGACAGCTTGGGATTGCTGGAGGTACAGCAGGGACTAGGAATGGGGGGGTTAGTTCACTATTACAAAAAAATAAATAAAAATGTAAAAGTGAATTAACACTAAGTCCCATTGACACCATAGGCAGCTTTGCCCATCACAGTCCTAACACAAGATGTGGCAACCCGCCTCGAGTCCTAGGAGTTCAGGTCACATAGCGGGGATAAAAAAGAAAGAAAATGTGCAAAGCACAACGTGCTGCTACCCTAGAATCCAGACCCAGAAAGGTTATTGTGACTCGTACTTAAAGTGCTACTAAACCCAGGACCCCGCGTTCCCTCTATCCCCTCTCCCCGGACCCCGCGTTCCCTCTATCCCCTCTCCCCGGACCCCGCGTTCCCTCTATCCCCTCCCCTCCCCGGACCCCGCGTTCACTCATCTATCCCCTCTCCCCGGACCCCGCGTTCACGCTATCCCCTCTCCCCGGACCCCGCGTTCACTCTATCCCCTCTCCCCGGACCCCGCGTTCACTCTATCCCCTCTCCCCGGACCCCGCGTTCCCTCTATCCCCTCTCCCGGACCCCGCGTTCACGCTATCCCCTCTCCCCGGACCCCGCGTTCACGCTATCCCCTCTCCCCGGACCCCGCGTTCACGCTATCCCCTCTCCCCGGACCCCGCGTTCACGCTATCCCCTCTCCCCGGACCCCGCGTTCACTCTATCCCCTCTCCCCGGACCCCGCGTTCACTCTATCCCCTCTCCCCGGACCCCGCGTTCACTCTATCCCCTCTCCCCGGACCCCGCGTTCACTCTATCCCCTCTCCCCGGACCCCGCGTTCACTCTATCCCCCCTCCCCGGACCCCGCGTTCACTCTATCCCCTCTCCCCGGACCCCGCGTTCACTCTATCCCCCCTCTCCCCGGACCCCGCGTTCACTCTATCCCCTCTCCCTCTCCTCGGACCCCGCGTTCACTCTATCCCCTCTCCTCGGACCCCGCGTTCACTCTATCCCCTCTCCTCGGACCCCGCGTTCACTCTATCCCCTCTCCTCGGACCCCGCGTTCACTATATCTGGCCTCCCACAGTACACACAACATGGAAATACAATCATTTTAGTAAATATAAACTGATAAATACCCTTTCTCATCAGCAGTTAGAGTAGTCTTGTGACTTCTATCAGTGTCCAGCCCACCACTAGCTAAAGCTTGTAGGAGGAGTTTTCTTTCTGCTCTTGGAGGATGCAGAACCCCTGACGTCTGTCTGGACAATGCTGATTGGCCCTGTGCTGATCACATGCACCCTCCCAAGAAAGGGAAAAAAAAAACCCTGTAGCTATACACACTAAACTGAGCATGTGCAGAAGAGCACGGTTCAGTCTGCTTATCAGGAGATAAGAGGTGGTCGCTTGAAAAAGGGGAGGAACACAGAAGACAGGACCAAATGGCCTTTTTACACAATGCAGAGCATTACCCCCTTAGGTTCCACAGTGAGTATAACAGGCATGCTTTACTGCATATACAGACTGATTTTACTATTGTGGGTTTAGCAACATTTTAAGAATGGAGGCTGCGTGACGTCATGCTGGTCCCGGAAACTGCCGGGCAGCCATCTTGCTGCTCACCACATGCTGCCACCGTCCGGCAGACCTGGCACCACATGACTCCATGGCCAGTTAACCCTTCCCTATGCTATCCAAAACGTAGTAATTTTTTGGGCTGGAGACTTAAAAAAAAAAAAAAATGCAAAAAAAAAAATTACATCCAAATTCAATTTTAGCACAAACCCACAGAACCTTTCTTGTTTGTAACCCGGAGACCGCCTGTACTGGAACCTTGTACCGTGCATCTTTACAGTGGTTCTAAAGCCTCAAGGTTTTTTTACCCAAACGCATTCTATGCATGAAGGCAAAAAAGCATTCTCTGCTGCAGGATCCCCCCCAAACCCCCATATTATTCCTACCAGAGCCTGACAGCTGAGGCTGCTACCTCATGCCTTTATAACTGAACACATTAATTACACAGGTACTGGGGCTAGTTGGACAGCACAGTGGCTAAATGGTTAGCACTTCCGCCTGGCAGTACTAGGGTCGCTGGTTTGAATCCCAACCACGGCACCACCTGCATGGAGTTTGCATGTTTTCCCTGTGCCTGCGTGGGTTTCCTCCGGGTACTCTGGTTTCCTCCCACACTCCAAAGACATGCTGGTAGGTTAACTGGATCCTGTCTAAATTGGCCCTAGAATGTATGAATGTAGGTTAGGGACCTTAGATTGTACGCCCCTTGAGGGTTAGGGACTGATGTGAATGTACAATATATATGTAAAGTGCTGCATAAATTGACAGCGCTATATAAGTACCTGAAATAATAGTTAGGGTGGTAATTAAAATCACTTAGTGCCTCATCTGCATTAAATCAGCCATGGAACCTGTGTAATCAAGAAGTGTTCAGTTTTAAAGGGATGAGGTGGCAACCCTAACGATAGCAGCGGCTCTCGCCTCTATCTCTCTTCTCATTGGGCACACTGATAGCAGCAGAAGCCATTGGCTCCCACTCCTGACAAACAACACCAGTGACGAGGGAGCGGGGCCAAGTCACGCTGTCAACTGATGCAGCGGCGCAGCTCGGGAACGAGCACGCATGAGTGCCTCCAAGGCAAGCGCATTCCTATTGGATAGGATCACCAGCGGGGGACCTGAGAAGAAGAGAATCAGGGATGCTCTGTGCACAGAGCAGGTAAGCATAGACATTATTAGAGTGTAAGCTCCAAGGACCCTCTATTTTTTATTTATTTCAGGTACTTATATAGCGCCGTCAATTTACGCGCTTTACATATATATATTGTACATTCACATCAGTCCCTAACCCTCAAGGGGCGTACAATCTAAGGTCCCTAACCCTCAAGGGGCGTACAATCTAAGGTCCCTAAACCTCAAGGGGCGTACAATCTAAGGTCCCTAAACTCAAGGGGTGTACAATCTAAGGTCCCTAACCTCAAGGGGCGTACAATCTAAGGTCCCTAAACCTCAAGGGGTGTACAATCTAAGGTCCCTAAACCTCAAGGGGCGTACAATCTAAGGTCCCTAAACCTCAAGGGGCGTGTACAATCTAAGGTCCCTAAACCTCAAGGGGCGTACAATCTAAGGTCCCTAACTCACATTCATACATACACATATTAGGGCTGGAGAAGGATTTGGGAGTTCTGGTAGATCACAAGCTTAATAATGGCAGCAATGCCAAGCTGCGGCTTCTAAAGCGAGCAAAATCCTCTCTTGTATTAAAAGAGGTATAGACTCCAGAGAGAGAGAGAGATATAATTTTCTCCGGTACAAATCATTAGTAAGACCTCATCTGGAATATGCAGTTCAGTTTTGGGCACCAATTCACAAAAAGAACATTGGGGAACTGGAGAAAGTACAGAGAAGGGCAACCAAACTGATAAGAGGCATGGAGGAGCTCAGCTATTTATGTATTTCAGGTGCTTATATAGCGCCGTCAATTTACGCAGCACTTTACATATATATTGTACATTCACATCAGTCCCTAACCCTCAAGGGGCGTACAATCTAAGGTCCCTAACTCACATTCATACTAGCGCCAATTTAGACAGGAGCCAATTAACCTACCAGCATGTCTTTGGAGTGTAGGAGGAAACCGGAGAACCAGAGGAAACCCAAGCAGGCACAGGGAGAACATGCAAACTCCAGGCAGGTGGTGCTGTGGTTGGGATTCGAACCAACGACCCAAGTACTGCCAGGTGGAAGTGCTAACCATTTAGCCACTGTGCTGCCCTAAGCTCCAATGACCCTCTTGTACTGTTGCTGTATTCTCTCCCATTATATTGTAAAGCGCTGAGCAAACTGTTGGCGCTAAATAAATATTTTTTATAATAATAATAATATTTATTAAAAAAAAAAAAATCCTTTACAATCACTTTAAATAAAGGATTTTTATCACCATCGAGAAAATAAAAAAGGTAGGACATGCGCTACTTTTGTTTCCCGCACTACACCACATCGCAACCCATGACGCTGAATAAAGGCGAATGTCACTTTGGTAACATTGTAATAAAGTCCTAGATTGTAAGCTCCCAGGATCAGAGCCCTCCTATCCCTCTTGTATTGAACTGTATTGTTGCTGTATTGTCTCCCGTTATATTGTAAAGCGCTGCGCAAACTGTTGGCAATATAAATCCTGTATAATAATAAAATTAAAATAAGTAAACAGCGCAATGCGTCATTTACCGTTTACAATCCGCGCCAGCAGCTGCGGCACAACGCGTCAGAACGCACTTGAAGGGAGAAAAAAAAAAAAAAATCAAGCATGTTGGATTTTTTTGCAGAAGAAGATGCAAGGTGCGAGCGCAGGTGAACGCAAACGTGTTGACCGCACGCTAGACGCCGCGCACACAGCATGAATCCAGCCACAGGCTTGCAGCTGCTTGGGTTTCTATGTGGGAAGCAGGTGAGGCAGGATGTGTAGGCCTGAACAGGTATCTATGGGCAGATGACAACAGTCTGTGGCACACAACAATCTGCAGTACACACACATGCAGCCTGGCATTGGACCACACGTGTGATCATCATCATTTCCATTCTGCAACCCCCCCCTCTCCCCCCCCATACACAGATCAATCCACCGGCTGCAACACCTTCACGCAGATCTATGCCTTGCTCTATGAAGCCATTCCTAGCTGAGCATTTTCATGCCCTTTCAGCTCTCCCCCCCTACTCCTCCCCCACTTGGTACTGCCCACACCACACG